CCCTATCCAGAAGACTTCATTGGCGATAATTTCATTGTATGTGGCAGCTACACAGCCATTTTGTTTCTTTTATTGTTTCCATTCTCATCCAGGCTAGCCTTAACCATTTTGGCAAGATCGTTTATAGCGGCAGAGAGAAAAGATCCCCCACTCCATCTTTTACAAAAGGGGGAGGGAGAGAGAAATCATTACGGTTTTCTAGCACCATTACACCCTTTCCCAGAAATGCTACTTTGCTATCTCTTAAATGACCTGTGGAGGCCTGTGAGTCTCCCACCTTATCAATATCTCACTGTTTTTTGAAGACACATCCGTTTACACTGGCATTTGGCACATGATGGCTGTTGCTATGTTTCTGTTTCTTTCCTTGCCTGATGTTATTATTAGTTGATTTGGTGATATTTTATTGTGAAACTGTTTGCATCTTTTTATGGGTTGTACTTGCATTTGAGTGCTCACTGGAAGGACAGATCCTGAAGCTGAGACTCCAATACTTTGGCCACCTCATGAGAAGAGAAGACTCCCTGGAAAAGACCCTGATGTTGGGAAAGATGGAGGGAACAAGGAGAAGGGGACGACAGAGGTCGAGATGGTTGGACAGTGTTCTCGAAGCTACCAGCATGAGTTTGACCAAACTACGGGAGGCAGTAGAAGACAGGAGTGCCTGGTGTGCTCTGGTCCAGGGGGTCATGAAGAGTCAGACACGACTAAACAACTAAACAACAACAACTTGCATTTTGGTGTATGCGGCCCTGGGCACCTTTGGGAGGAAGAGTTGGGTGAAAATATTGTTATCAAAATAATAATAATAATAATAATAATAATAATAATAATAATCAGTTAGTGCTAAAATGGTTCTTTCTCTCTCTCTCTCTCTCTCTCTCTCTCTCTCTCTCACACACACACACACACACACACACACACACAAAGACTGATGTAAAAAAAACCCACAGGATTATAAAACAGCATAATTGCAAAAAGCGATAGTTAATGTGTGCCGCACTTCAAACAAGCCACTTAGCTGAGCAGGACCTTTTTCGTTCCCACTTCAACCATGTCTCTTAGTGCAGATGGGCAAAAAGAAAACATGTGCTAACCCCCATAGTGTGGAATAAACAGTTGTAGTTCTGCCTGCAGCTTACAGCAAAGTAATGATTGTTCCAGCAATCCTATGCATGGGGAGGTGGTATAAAGCAAGCCAGTGTAAGTTAACAGACCCTCCAAGTGTTCCTGTTTTCCACGGCCGGTACTAGATTTACAGAAGCCGCTCCTGTTTCTGATTTGCTCCCACAGTGTCCCACCTTTCCTTAGGATGTCCCTATTTTCATTGGAGAAATGTTGGAGGGCATAGAGTTATGCGACCCCTGAGCCAAGGAGATAAAATAACTATACAACCTTTAGAAGACACCTGAAGGCCGCCCTGTATAGGGAAGTTTTTAAAAGTTTTATTATGTTTTTATATATGTTGGAAGCTGCTCAGAGTGGCTGGGGCAACCTATTCAGATGGGTAGGGTATAAATAATAAATTATTGTTGTTGTTGTTGTTGTTGTTGTTGTTGTTGTTGTTGAATAGGACATCCCTATTTTCATCAGAGAAATGTTGGAGGGTATGAGTTCAGCCAGCATAAAGTTACATCAGATCCAAACTCCATTCAGCTGAGGTCCTGTTGCTGCTCTGCCTAAGCCTAGCAGAGGGTAAACAAGCCTTTCAAATAATACTATTCACTGGGTTGCCAGGTCATGTGACCAAGTGGAATGGGCATAGGATCCAACACCTAAGTCCACCACCCACCCTGGTCCTGCCTCCTCCACACCCCCAGAATGCCCCTTTTTGGGGACTTACCTGGCCTTTGGCTCAACTGGCTGAACCCCGACTGAGCCAGGATGTGCAAATTCCACTGAGCTGGAGATGGAGACTTAACACAAGTTGAGCCAGGAATTAGCCAACAGAGCCAGAGATCCACTTAGTCTTAATCTGCCCATCCTGGTAGATCTTGCCATAGGCTTTCCCGTTATGGATCTGGAACGTGCTCTCCTAGAGCGCAGGGGTTGAGTTAGACTCAAAGATTGAACTAAGTGAATGAGGGACCAACTAAGTGAATGAGGGCACCCTGACCCCCCCCCCCCCCGGGAAGACTCTATTAGCTCTCAAGAAGAGGAAGAGTTGGAAGGCGGCCAGAGCATTGCTAGGCAATCAGCAGATAAGCAGAGGTCTGAGTCTGTGTCGAGTTGGGGGGAAGGGGAGGTCAGTATCTCAGTCCCCGTTCTAGGCATTTGGATAAAATCAGAAGGCAACGGAAGGGCAAGAGGGGAAAGGCGGGAATCTGGCGTCCTTCCTGCTGTGGAAGGGGCGAAACTTCAGACTGACCAACAAACATAAATGTGAGTAGGCAAGAAGCCGTGCTCTGGATGTGTCTTTTTGTAAATAAATATACATAAAATTGCCAGAGAGTCATTACTTCGTATCAAGGCTTGCTTGCCTGCCAGAGATCATTACATTATGAATACTATCAGAACATTAACTACAGAAGACCCCTTGTTTTAGAGTTTGCTAACTCACTCCCCAGGCAGGTCAAATCCACACAGCGCTATTTCTGGTGGGATCAGAGGATGAGAGACCTTCTGAGCAGATGATTCCAGGACTCCTAGTCAGCATGAGAGAGGTTCTAGGGGTTGTGTCTCAAATGCACAGAGCTGGCCACAAGACTGTGATTCTCCCTTCTCTGGAGTTTGGCAAACCCCAGGCACAGTTGCTCCCCTGCCCTCACTCCTCCGAAGTTTCAAACAATTTGAAAATGTGAACATTTCCAGCAGGCAGAGGGAAATCCCATGCTCGGCAACATTTCACAAACAGAAACAGGGATATGCTTGTGTACCTGTCACACCTCTGCTCCCACACTGAGGATCCCTGCCTTGGTAAACACACCCCTTACATACTGATGAAGCTTTCTCTCTCACTGCTGCATGATGTATTTGTTGACTCTGCAACAACCTACCTTTGCAGCGGCTTCTGAAGCAGGGCGTGTAAACTTCAGGAGGTTTTTTAACGGAAGGTTTAATTAGCTCAGGGTGGATCTGGCAGTGCCTATTCTAGAATTGTAGCAGCTCCAAAACAGAGTCTGCCAGGGCCAGGCTAGGATGGGGGAGATACAGGTACAAATTATCCATGGTAGGGAATCGCGGAGAAATTTGATGCATCCAAAACAATACGCCTATCAAAGAACACCCATGAAATCCACACTTCTCTGAGTTTTGCAGTGTCTACGTTGCCTTGGTCATGCCCACAGAATGGAAGATGACTTGCTCTATGGGGAGCTGGCTTTGGGCGCCAAGCCCATTGCCAGACCAACGCTGCACTACAAAGAAGTCTGCAAACATGACACGAAGGCTGGAAACATCAACCTCGCCATGTGGGAACCCCTTGCAGAAGACTGCAGTGCCTGGAGACAGACAGTCAAGTCATGTATCCATAGGGGAGACTAGGGGAGGAATGACCGCTGGGAGGAGCACAGGGAGAAGAAATGTCATGGTGCATCTGACGCCCACATCTGCCCCAGCTGCAACAAAACATGTCTCTCCTTTATCGGTTTCTACAGCCACAGCAGGCGCTGCAACCTTCCAACAGTTCAACTTCATCCTCCAAGGCACACTCCTCCATTGTCTCCCAAGACAAACGGATGCCAACAAAAAGAACTCCAGACGATTAATGTCTACAATAATGCAAACACCGTCTTGCCTAAAAATGGATGTTAGTGAAAATAACAAACAAAAATGCATTATATTAATCGGAAAGGGTTGTAAAATTGCATACAGAAAATGTGTTTATTGGATAATTTTGCACTAAAATACTGATGAATCTCCATGGGAATTTATATACACAAATTCGTAGACTGAATTTAGGATTGGAAAAATGAGAAACTGAGAGAAACCAAAATTGACAGATTCTCCCACTCCTATTCATGGGTGACCTTGGACCAGTCACACTTTCCCAACTTAATCTACCTGACAGGGTGAGGAAAAAATAGGAAGGAGAGAAAAATATATATGTTGCCTTAAGTTCCTTGGGGGGGAAACTGGAACAGAAACATAATAATAGCATTTCTCCGAAATGCAGACCTACACAAATAAATTTCTGTATTACATTGCCAATCAGACTTTACAGTCCACCATATTGTCTTTGATGAACGTTCTCAGTTTTGGGGCTGCGGCGGTGAATCTTGCAACTTTTTCTGCCACAAACTTATCGGAGCCAGACGGCAGATATGTGATCTTCACTTGATCATCCACATCAGGCATCTTACACAATAGTTCACAAATGTACTTAGCTCTCAGTTCAGAATACAAAGACGGAGCTTCAAATTTCCATTTTACACTTGGCCTGCCTCTTACTTGACGTGTCTTCTGACTGTTTCCTCCGCCTTGCTTTCTTCACATTCCCCAAGGGGTGCAAAAAGTGTCTTTCCATCAAAGTCTCCTTCTCTCCCTCTGGCTCTGGGGATCCTGGACTCTAAGAAAGCCCAGGGCCTCCTCATCCCCACCTCTCTCCTCCAGATGCTGAGGCCTGATCTAGCGCAAGGCTGGGAGCCAGGAGGCTGCAGTAGGCCGAGCCGGTGCCTGAGGCTAAGAGGCAGGTGTCTCACATCACCTCTCTGCAGAGACAGCCTGGGTTTGTGCTGACATCTGCACCAGCAGGCGCTCGAGGCAAAAGAAAACATTGGAGCACAGTTCGCAGACAAGGAGTGAGGAGGCGAGTCAACGGGCAGCTTGAATTTTATAACACGTCTTGGACTCAGTGCTCCAGTTTTGAGGGGGGCAAAGACAGCCGGTGGGAGGAAGGATCCTATAAAGTAGAGGGGTCCGGTCTTCTTCAGCCCAAGCGCTGCATTCCCTTCTTCTAGAAGGGACCACATGCTATTGGTGGTTGTGGAGGGGCTGGCAGAGCAATGAAAGCGAATTTTGCCTTTCTGCTAGTAGGCTAATTTCCACACACACTCACACATACCCAGGGATAGCTTAGTTGGTAGAGCATGAGACTCTTAATCTCAGGGATCTAGGATCGAGCCCCACATTGGGCAAAAACTGTTAAGTTGCTGGTGAACATATCAGACGACACAGCGATTCTTCAAACAGCTCTTGTTTATTCACAGGCCAGGACAGAACTGAACTGAAGGGTTCAGTCAGCCTGCTTATATAGAGCTCCAGTACAACGTTACTGTAACAACTTTCTAAAACTATCCAATCACTGAACGTCACTTTCGATCCCTTATTTGCATAACTATCTACAGTATCCCCCTGCTGGCCCAGGGTGAGAACTTCAGTACATAACAAAAACATTTCTGCTTTGGGGGTTGGGCTAGATGACACTTGCGGTCCCTTCCGATTCTGGTTCTGATCCCTCTGAAGCCTTCATGCAGGCACACAAGCAAGAAGCATTTGCAGAGCTCAAGGACATATTCCAGCCAGGCAAAAACTCTTGAGGTAGGTGCAAAGCAGGGTTGGTGTCATGGACTGGCTGCATGCCAAGGACTAGTGGGAAGCACCAGCTGGGGATCCCCAAGTGAAGAAGGATCAGAGCCTGGGGATTGGTGGTGGGACAATGAGGAGTGGTCAGAGGGAGAAGAGGAAGCAGACTGGAAGGAGGAGGTGTCAGAAGCTGAAGAAGCAACAGGGTTTAGTGAGCAGGAAGAGGCTGGGGCAGAGAGCAGTTCAGAATCAGAATCAGAAGTGGAGGCTGGAGAAGAGGGGGCCCAAGAGGCAACAGCAGAAGCCTAGCTGGAAAGCTTAAAATCTGCTGCCACTGCACGGGAGACAGATTGAAGAAAAGAAAATACAAACTAGCCCTGCCCCATAGCTTGACTAATCATGGCTAGGAGCAGCTAGAAGCTAGGTGGAGTCAGGGGTCTTTTAAAAAGGAGGGGTAGACTCGCACACGCTGGCCAGCTTCACTTGAAATGTTTGTTTGGGGCTTCTCATGGGACGCGGGTGGTGCTGTGGGTTAAACCGCAGAGCCTAGGACTTGCCGATCAGAAGGTCAGTGGTTCAAATCCCCACGACGGGGTGAGCTCCCGTTGCTCCTGCCAACCTAGCAGTTCGAAAGCACGTCAAAGTGCAAGTAGATAAATAGGTGCCGCTCTGGTGGGAAGGTAAACGGTGTTTCCGTGCGCTGCTCTGGTTCGCCAGAAGTGGCTTAGTCATGCTGGACACATGACCCGGAAGCGGTATGCCGGCTCCCTCAGCCAATAAAGCGAGATGAGCGCCACAACCCCAGAGTCAGCCACAACTGGACATAATGGTCAGGGGTCCCTTTACCCTTACCTTGGGGCTTCTCAGAAGTAAGCAAAGGCAAGAAACAAGCAGGGGTGGGCGCCGGCTCGCAATGGCACCCACCTGAGAGGTGCTGGAACTGCGCTCCAGCATTAAGCACTACCATTAATACCACTTCAGATTCCTCAAAGCAGCATGGTGGATTTCCATAGCCTTTAGGCTGTTTCCAGTCTAGGTAGCCTCACAGCTCTCCTGCAATTTGTCTGTATTCAGATTGAGGCTGCCTCCAGCTATTTCTCTAGTCTACCTCCAAATCCCATTGAGTGTCACACTGCCAAGGCTGGAGAGAGTGATTCCAGACCATTAAGGACCATTACAGCTCTTTGCTGATGTCCTAAGCATCCGTCAAGCCGCTGAGGCCCATTCATATGCTGACTGAGACAGCCCAACCTGCATTGAAACCTCCGGTAAGCATTGCAAATTTCAGACAGGAGATGACTGACAGAGAACTCTATTTCATATGGTACACAACATAGCCATTTGCCTTGAAACCTCAAGATAAGGTAGGATGCAGACCTGCTTGGCTATTCATCCTTTCTTTGCAGATTTATGGGCAATATGATTCTCAGGATCCATGGTAGGCGACGTTAAACACTGTAACTAGAAACCGCACTGTAACCGCACAGCAGAACTGAGAACCAATGGGTAGGAAACAGCTTTCTTGAAGATGTTATTGGGTTCCAAACTCTTCATATACAGTGGTACCTCGGGTTAAGAACTTAATTCGTTCCGGAGGTCCGTTCTTAACCTGAAACTGTTCTTAACCTGAGGTACCACTTTAGCTAATGAGGCCACACACTGCTGCTGCACCGCCGGAGCACAATTTCTGTTCTCATCCTGAAGCAAAGTTCTTAACCCGAAGTAATATTTCTGGGTTAGTGGAGTCTGTAACCTAAAGCGTTTGTAACCTGAAGCATATGTAACCCGAGGTACCACTGTATATTGCATACAATGTCATGGAGTCGCTGCGGATGCAGTTGTGTGTAGACCAGGGATAGAGATCTGGTGACACTGTTAGGACTACATCCCCCATTATCTCTGAACATTGGCTATGCAATCTGGGGCTGATGGGAGTTGGAGCCCAACCACATGAGGAGGATGCATCCCTGAGGCAAGTCACGCTCAGCTATGAAATTCTCAAGAAGGACAAAGCCATCCATATTCACCTTGGTTCTGAGGCACGCACAGGCCTCTCAGGAAGCCATGGCTGAGTGTTTGCTGCCTACTGGGAAAGGTCTGTGAGGTAGCGTCTGGGTCAGTAGCTTTGTCTGGCCTTGGTACAGCTGAATTATTTTGACCTTAAAACCGCCTCGAGGCCTCTCCTGTTCTTCTGCTCAGTCCAGAAGAAGAGAAAATGCAGCCAGAGTTTGAGGTATGGGTGAGGAAGGGAAGGGAAGGGAAGGGGGAAAGTCAGAGAGAGCGAGAGCAGGGATGGATGGGAGGTTGTGACTGCTATTCTTTTAGAAGAACTGAGTGGTATTAACAGACTCAAGGGAAATAAGGCAGGGGTGGAAGAATGGGGAGAGTGGTGGGCTGAGATTTTGGGACATCCACCAGCATAATTAAGAATAATAATTTTATCATTTATATCCCACCCATTTGAATGGGTTGCCCCAGCCACTCTGGGCAGCTTCCAACATACAGTGGTACCTTGGGTTAAGAACTTAATTCGTTCTGGAGGTCCGTTCTTAACCTGAAGTACCATTTTAAGTAATGGGGCCTCCCACTGCCCCTGTGCCGCCGCTGTGCGATTTCTGTTCTCATCCGGAAACAAACTTCTTAACCCGAGGTACTATTTCTGGGTTAGTGGAGTCTGTAACCTGAAGCATCTGTAACCCAAGGTACCACTGTATATAAAAACATAATAAAAAGTTTCACATTAAAAGACTTCCCTATACAGGGCTGCTGTCAGTTGTCTTCTGAATGATGAGGAATGAAGTGAATCACTAACAATTGGGGAGCCAGGAGCCAGGAGGCACTTTGTCCCTGGCCCGGAAGGTTCCTTCTTAATCCTTTAAGGAGGCAGGGTGTGAATACAGAGGCTGCTTCCAGACCAATGGGGTAGCAAGGGGCGGGTGACCACAGGGGCACAGAATTGTTAGGGGTGCAATATTTTGACATCCAGTGCTGCCTCAATACTGTTGTGTGCTTCCGTTGCTGGGCTCCACTGAAAACGGCTTCTCCATGTGAACCAGGAAGTAACCTCTCCAGACAACGGTACAGCTTTTCTTTTCTTATCTCTGTGGCTGCAATTTCCGGGGTGATGTGGACACTGTAATGCAGTAGAATGTGCATGGCTACTCTGCCCATTTCCTTCCCCCCCCCCACGCCCTCTGTGTGGCCCCAGGTGCTGGTAACCCACGCTAGGCCACGCTAGGCTATTTGCATCCCGACTCGTTTGCGGAAAGTTTGCGGGGCGGCTAGAGGACAGCACATCGAGAAAAATGTCGCCCCACACTTTCTGCAGCATTTTCCTTGTTGCAGGGGTGAGGGGGAGTGGGGAAGTAGGTTTGTTGTAGAAAAGCTCAAAATCTGTGATTGATGTGATTGGATCTCACCTGAAAATAGGCTGCGTACTTACCAGACATTTGAAGCACCTCACCCTAAGAATCCTGGGAGCTGTAGTTTGTTAAGGGTGCTGGGGATGGTAGCTTTGTGAGGGGTAAATTACGGTTTCTCAGGATTCTTTGGAGATGTGTGCTTTAAATATGCAGCGTTGGTCCAGAAGTACCCTTAGCAGAATAAAAGAACTACCGTATTTTTTGCTCTATAAGACTCACTTTTTCCCTCCTAAAAAGTAAGGGGAAATGTGTGTGCATCTTATGGAGCGAATGCAGGCTGCGCAGCTATCCCAAAAGCCAGAACAGCGAGAGGGATCACTGCTTTCGCTACGCAGTGATCCCTCTTGCTGTTCTGGCTTCTGGGATTCAGACTATTTTTTTTCTTGTTTTCCTCCTCCAAAAACTAGGTGCGTCTTATGGTCTGGTGCGTCTTGTAGAGCAAAAAATACGGTAATTAAAGACTAGCATTCCATCAGAGGAACTGAGTGGTATTAGCAAACTCATAGGAAATAAGGCAGGGGAGAGTGGGGAGAGTGATGGGCTGGGATTAGCAGAATAAAGGAACTCCTTACATCAGGACTGATGAATGGAGCCCTCTGATCCTCTCTCCTCTCTCTGGGCGAGGGGTAGGCAACCTAAGGCCCAGGGGCCAGATGTGGCCCAATCGCCTTCTCAATCCGGCCCGCAGACGGTCCGGGAATCAGCGTGTTTTTACATGAGTAGAATGTGTCCTTTTATTTAAAATGCATCTCTGGGTTATTTGTGGGGCATAGGAATTCGTTCATTATTTTTTTCTTCTCCAAAATATAGTCCGGCCCCCCACAAGGTCTGAGGGGTGGTGGACTGGCCCACGGCTGAAAAAGGTTGCTGACCCCTGCTCTGGGCCATGCTCCATGCCCTCCTCAAGTCTCAAGCGCTTTTGTCGGGCTGGAAGGCATCCTTGAACTGTGGCCATGCCTTTTGTTTGTGTGGCTGGAGGATGGAAACGTGTCATGCACAAAGGTGAGAGACGCATCTAGATCTCAGTGTTTGGGCTGACCGATGTGGGTGGAGACGCTCCTTCAGGCTCCCTGTATGAGCATCTCCTCTCCATTGTTCAGCCCAGACACTGAGGTCCAGCTCCGAGGGCCTTCTAGCTGTTCCCTCCCTGAGAGAAATGAAGTTACAGTGGTGCCCCGCAAGACGAATGCCTCGCAAGACGAAAAACTCGCTAGACGAAAGGGTTTTTCGTTTTTTGAGCTGCTTCGCAAGACGATTTTCCCTATGGGCTTGCTTCGCAAGACGGAAACGTCTTGCAAGTTTGTTTCATTTTCTTAACACCGTTAATACAGTTGCGACTTGACTTCGAGGAGCAACTCATAGAACGCGGTGTGGTAGCCTTTTTTGAGGTTTTTAAAGACTTTGGTGATTTTTGAAGCTTTTCCAAAATTTTCCCGACACCGTGCTTCGCAAGACAAAAAAAATCGCAAGGCGACAAAACTCGCGGAACGAATTAATTTCGTCTTGCGAGGCACCACTGTACAGAGGACCAGCTCTGAGGGCCTTCTCCCATCAGATGTCAAGAAAATAAACATTATAATGTGGTTATGATTTGCTAGATAGAAGATAGGGTGCAGTGGAAGGAGATAAACAACAACTCCATGGAAAAGGGGGTGGGAAGTCGGGGAAAATATAAGAGAAAAGAGGAAGTTGTGTTTTGACTGTGTGTGTTAAAAATGTTGAAACTTAATGAAATATAATTTTTTAAAAAAATAAACAGAAGCCAAGGAAATAAACAGTTATCTGATTGTTATCTGAAGGCAGCCATGTACAGGGAAGTTTTTAATGTTTGAAGGTTTACTGTAGTTTATAATTTGTTGGAAGCTGTCCAGAGTGGCTGGGGCAACCCAGTCAGGTGGGCGGAATAATAATAATAATAATAATAATAATAATAATAATAGGGAATGTTGTCATCAGGCGGGGAAAAAAGGTGCTGCATCTGTGCATATTTTAAGATCTGGTGACGAAAAATATGCTGAGTTCAAGGCTGGAATCCTAAACACAGTTTATTTACACGTACTTTGCTCTGCTCTTTCTAAGCACAGCTCTGGGCTTACCAAGTCTGTGTCCAAATGGGGTGTTGTTTTTTTCCTGGTGCATTCCCTGAGGAAACCTGAATTTTACAGCTGAATCTGAGCAAACAGAAATCCATGCAAAACCCGACTGCGGGTTGCTCCGATTCAGTAGGCAAAAAAACACACACACCTGTTCAGACCTCTGGAAAGCCCAGACCTGTGCCTAGAAACTGGGGACTAAAGGAGGTTTGGGTGAGTTGCTTCTAGAGAGGGGTTCTAGATAGTTGCTTCTAGATAGGGGTTTCATCCTTGGTTTTGGTGAGCTAAGGTAAGCTCTCTTTGGCATGGAACAGAGGACAGTGGGAAGCATGACCTGAAACTGGGACTACAGGGGTACCTCGGGTTAAGAACGTAATTCGTTCTGGAGGTCAGTTCTTAACCTGAAACTGTTCTTAACCTGAAGCACCACTTTAGCTAATGAGGCCACACACTGCCACCGTGCCGCCGCTGCACGATTTCTGAGGTAAAGTTCTTAACCCGAGGTACTATTTCTGGGTTAGCAGAGTCTGTAACCTGAATTGTCTGTAACCTGAAGCGTCTGTAACCTGAGGTACCACTGTATAGGTAATAACTGAGGCACATTTCTCAAATTCCTGGAATAAGGAATACTGGGGATCAAGCCTGGCTGCAATGGAGGCGCCTTCCCTTCCAAATCCTAAACAGGCATGGAAGGTTTGGGGTTGCTTAGCAAAGGCAGGAGAGCACTCTGGACAAAGATGTTCCCTTCATGCTCATTTGGTTAGAGTGAGGTGCTGATAACGGCAAGGTTGCAGGTTCGATCCCCGTATGGGAAAGCTGCGTATTCCTGCATCGCAGGGGGCTGGACTAGATTGATCCTCAGGGTCCCTTCCAACTCTACAATTCTAGGATTCTATGTATTATTGTCACAGGTGCCTGAGCCCAGGCATAAAGCAAATGGATTTCAGGGCTATATAGCCAGATGAGTCCTGCCTCAATTTAATGGCTTACAGAGGTGGGGAGGCACTGAGTGCACCACCAGAACTAGCTCTCTGCGAACCAGCCATTCTCTCTCTCTCTCTCTCTCTCTCTCTCTCTTACACACACACTTTTCTTCTTTACACTGCTCTGGCAGAGGCCTCTTTATGAATTCAGCCCCCCCCTTCTCCCATCTTCTCACTCACTCACTTACTCTCCCCCCCTCCCGCCACCGCTGCACTGTTGCTGCCACCTGGAGCCTGCGGAGTTGCTATGGCAACTGGGAATCCGCAGCACTGGCGAAGTCGCCATGGCAACAAGGGATCCACAGTGCGGCTGCAAAGTTTCCATAGCGACAAGGTTTCAAGAGAGCCAAGTGGGACTGGCACCAGGCCGGGGGGGGGGGGCGGCGGGTTGGAGAGAGAAGAGAAGCGGGAATCAGTCAAGGTATTTCCATAATCTCAGGGTTACCCCTGCTTCCGCCACCCCCCCACCAAACCTCAAGGGTCAGTCCAGAGTTCTCCATTGCAGAAAAGGCAGCAACAGTTTGGATGCACCAAGCCTGACTCAAGTGAATAAGGAGTCGAAGACCGATGCACCCCCCAAAAAAACCCCACCAACGGTGGCCACATACAGTGCCCATAGGAAGGTTTACAATGGAACAGGTGCCTGGAACTCTCATTTTGTTTCATATTTTTTAAAAAAAGAATCAAGTATCTAGGCCTCATGGTACAAAGTTTGGAAACCTGAGTGTTATGGTCAGCAAACACTCTGAGGCTTCCCCTTTCTTGCCCTGCTGCTGTTTTCCTGCCCCACTACCTTACCTGCTCAATATCCACCTTGCTCCCTGTATATTTGGTACTGTCATGCTGGGAGAAGAAGAAGAGGAGGAGGAGGAGGAGGAGGAGGAGTTTGGACTCAATATCCCGCCTTTCACTCCCCTTAAGGAGTCTCAAAGCGGCTAACAATCTCCTTTTCCCTTCCTCCCCCACAACAAACACTCTGTGAGGTGAGTGAGGCTGAGAGACTTCAGAGAAGTGTGCCTGGCCCAAGGTCACCCAGCAGCTGCATGTGGAGGAGCAGGGAATCAAACCCGGTTCACCAGATTATGAGTCCACCGCTCTTAACCACTACACCACACTGGAGGACTTGGCTGATTCTTCTAACACAGATTCCCTTCACCCTTACCCTTCCCTTGGTGAAAACCAGCAAGTGTCTGGAGAAATCCATTTCATGGATGTGCTGGTTTCTTTCACTTTGCTCTCATCTGAAACCACGGGAAAGCCTTTCCCACTTGGATGCTCATTTCATGCACTGTCTCCCCTCTCCTGCAACCACTACAAGGCTGGAGGAAACTTCATTGACCTCTGCTTTCCTCTGCCTCCACCACTGCTTCTGCTCAGAAGAAGGGGGGCTGGTTCGAGATTTTTGTTTGCTCTTCCTTTATAAAGGATCTCCTGCGATTTACAGATAGCTCAGTCAGTAGAGCACAAGACTCTCAATCTGAGGGTTGTGAGTTCAAGCCCCATGTTGGGCAAAAGATTCCTGCATTGCAGGGAGTTGATAACCCGTGTCTCGTCCAACTCTATGATTCCATGAATGTCGGCTATCTGTACCGTACAACGCTAAATGCTATTGTGCTTCAGCTATCCGATACTGTCAAATATCAATGGTCAAATAAGAAATAATGAAGTCAAAGGTTGTTGTGTGCCAAAGGCAGACATTCAGCCCAGCCATCTAAGGAGCTATGAGGCCTACCTGAAGGTGGTGCCCCTCCAGGAATTACATTTCTCTGATGACTTTCTTTGAAGAACTTTCTTATTTTGTTCTCAGACCAGGTAACACCACAGCATTTACCCAAGGTGTCATGGGCTTTGACGATGCTTAAACTCAGGATGCAAGGGAGAAACGTGCTAAGAGGAAGGCACGCTTGGCAAACCCACACCGCGATCAACTCCTGCCTGGAAACCTATGTTCCCACTGTGGAAGGAGGTGTGGATCCAGAATTGGCCTCCACAATCACTTACGGACCCACTGTTAAAACTGTATTTATGGAAGACAATCTTACTCAGCTACGAGTGATCGCCAAAGAAGAAGAAGAAGACAGTTGCTCCATTTTATGTCTTGCTGTTTTGACCCAGGGCTGGCCCAAGATATTTTGCTGCCTGAGGCAAAGGACAAGATGGCTGCTCTCCCCCTTCCCACACTTCTGTTTACAAAATCCTATCGGAATGGCAGCTGAATCTTAGGCCATGTTTGCATTTAAAGAAATCTCAAGCTGCTTTAAAGTCATGGCTTCCCTCAAAGTATCCTGGGAAAGTGTCATTTGTTAAGGGGTGCTGAGAGAGAGAGAGAGAGAGAGAGAGAGAGAGAGAGAGAGAGAGATTCTTAAGATGTCAAAATAAGGATATAAGATGAGCAAACCACCATGGAATAACTCTAACAGAAAAAAAGGGTTAGGATGAAAATGAGAAAATGTAGATGCCTTTTTTTACAACTGCTCTGCAGATAAACCGCATGCAGGAATCTAGGGTCATAAAAACACCAGACAAACATTGTTCATGCTTTGTAACGGACAGATGGAAAACAAAGTTTTACAGCGGATGTTAGGAGAAGCAGAGAACGCACAGCTACTTGTGGAAGCAGAGGCCGTATGAGTGAAAATTTTCCAACAAGCCAAATTGCACAACAGCAACCACGAGTCAAGATTCATCTGGCAGCACATGCACACACAAAAACAATGCTTTCAGTTGGCTCATTAATTGTGTGTGGTACTGAATTCATTGTTTTGGCATTTAGCATTTTAAAAATCTTTGTCTTTGTGCTGCGTGTTTATAGTGCCCCTGACAAAAGATAACTGTCGAAACGCATTTGGGCTCGTCACATATTATAGTAATTTTTTATTCCTGAGCATTAGCCCTAGGCTTTGTCTTCCCTTTTTGTTTTGTTTTTGTGTTGCAGGAAGGGCACTCAAATGAAACGGATTGACGGTAAGTTCTTTCAGGACCGCTAAATTACAACGTGCAGGATAAAGCTCACAGGCAGGAGCCAGGTGGGTGGGTGGCACAGATACCTCCAGGCTGCTGCTGGTGGGAGACGTTTAGTCCTTTGTTAGGGATTTTGTGGGGTTTCTATGTCTTATTACGGAAAAATCTAGGTGTGCGGCTGCTCAGTCACCCAGCTCATCGGGCACAGCCCGTGGGTCCCTGCGGAATAAAAGGAGTCCAGCCACCAACCGGAGCAAATAGCTGTAGACCAAAGTTTATTGCGCAACAGGTTCAAAGAGGAATTTTGAACCCTGAGGATGGGGTGACAAGGACTTCTTAAAGTTTCTGTCTTATCCCAGCATAGAGTTCATTAAGCATCATCACTACATCATTGTTACATCATTGCTACATCAGAAAAGGGGAGGGTTATACATGATTAACAAAGGAGGAATGTGTTAGGGCAACAGGCATCAGATATGGGATATGTATTGGGAAGTACATTCTAAGCACCTATAATGGTACCTCGGGTTAAGTACTTAATTCATTCCGGAGGTCCGTTCTTAACCTGAAACTGTTCTTAACATGAAGCACCACTTTAGTTAATGGGGCCTCCTGCTGCCACTACGCCGCCAGAGCCCGATTTCTGTTCTTATCCTGAAGCAAAGTTCTTAACCTGAAGCACTATTTCTGGGTTAGCCGAGTGTGTAACCTGAAGCGTATGTAACCTGAAGCGTATGTAACCCGAGGTATCACTGTACTACAAAGGGACAACAGAACTTTGGTTTGCATAGTCCGCCACCTGGGCAAGTCCAGAGGAGTGCCTTTGCCCAGCAATTGACACCTATGAGTACCTGGTAAAGGAGTTGATTTTATATGATTTTTAAAGCTAGGTAACTTCCCTGAGCTGTCAAGTTGAAAGGATACATTTATGCATAATTTTTGTAACATTTAACAACTTTAAAGATGTGCCCCCCACCATAATTTCCGTAACAGTCTCATGGGGCCAAGCAAGATTTCAGGAGAAAAGGGGACAGTAGGTCCTTTAAATGGGCTGGCCAGCTCTGTCACCAGCCTTCTCAGAGCTAGGGTCAAAATGTAAGAGGAACCCTTACAAGAGGTCTTGAGAAGATGCACCTGTTCCTATCCTGAGCTCAGGTGGGCTGGGCAGGGCAGGGCACCGCTCCTCTCAGGTTACCAGCTAGATTTCAGCCACATGACATCCACCATGCTGGGTCCTTCTATGCTAGCTTACTCCCATGACAGGTGTGTCATGGGGACTAACAGATCCTGACACAATGTCATGCCAACGCCACCTACCATACTGTAACCAATAAGAGTTGTGGCCACATTTTGTTGTTGTTTAGTCGTGTCCGACTCTTCGTGACCCCATGGACCAGAGCACGCCAGGCACTCCTGTCTTCCACTGCCTCCCGCAGTTTGGTCAAACTCATGCTGGTAGCTTTGAGAACACTGTCCATCCATCTCGTCCCCTGTCGTCCCCTTCTCCTTGTGTCCTCAATCTTTCCCAACATCAGGGTCTTTTCCAGGGAGTCTTCTCTTCTTGTGAGGTGGCCAAAGTACTGGAGCCTCAGCTTCACGATCTGTCCTTCCAGTGAGTACATAGAATCATATAATTGTAGCGTTGGGAGGGACCCCGAGAAATGTGGGAATCTCAACTAGATCATCCGTGACATGTGGCCATCCAACCTCTGCTTGAAAACCTCCAAGGAAGGAGAGTCCACCACCTCCCGAGGGAGACCATTCCACTGCCAAACAGATCTTGCTGTCAGAAAGTTCTTCCTGATGTTGAGTTGGAATCTCCTATCTTGTAACTTGAATCCATTGGTTTGGGTCCTACCCACCGGAGCAGG